TTTCAAAAGAAGCAAGATGCAATAACCTCTCATGGACCACCCACACGTAGCCCTAAATGTTGGCTTACCCCATTCCTTTAAAAATAAAAAATCTTTAGTGCACTAACTCCCATTTGCCAAAGTTCATGATTACTTGTAAACTAGTCGGGACTACATTTTTATTTATACATTCTTCAAAATTTCTCTCTTTTTTATTCATGATCCACAGCTTGTAAATTGTAATCAAAGTAAAAAATTTGCCAAACATGAGCAAAATGCAGTAACCACATCCCCATCGCCATCCCCGCCCTAACAGAAGCTGCTACAGTAAATTCATTGACCTTGCATTAAAAGGTAGATTTAATATTATGATTTTCCATTTTTATTTCCTTTTACCTTTTATTTTCTACCCTTATCTTATACGGATAAGATTTCATTTTCGTAGTTGGCTCGTGCATGGTAGTCCAAAAGCCTTATAAATACACACTCTCCTTCCCCCGTCCCTCTCATTATACCTCAAGAATCCTCAATAATTATACAGACATAATACTTTTAAGTTTTCTTGAGAGAGGAGCATATGGAGGTCGGTGGCGGAGTGAAAAATGTTGTAAATTATTTACAACTACAACCACCATCACCAGCGCCACCGCGAGAACCACAGTGGAAGATTATAATGGTGGCCGCGATAGCCGCCGGAATACAATTCGGGTGGGCGTTACAGCTTTCCCTTCTGACTCCATATGTGCAGCTCCTTGGCATACCCCACAAATGGGCCGCCTTCATCTGGCTATGTGGCCCCGTTTCGGGCATGCTTGTGCAGCCTGTAGTTGGCTATTACAGTGACAACTGCTCCTCCCGGTTTGGCCGCCGCCGCCCCTTTATCGCGGCTGGATCTGCCCTCGTCACCATAGCAGTCTTCCTTATTGGATTTGCAGCTGATCTTGGCCACTCCTCCGGTGACCCCCTCGGAAATTCCCCTAAGCCCCGAGCTATTGCTGTTTTTGTTGTTGGCTTCTGGGTCCTTGATGTAGCCAACAACATGTTGCAGGTAAATTATAAATGCAAAGACTTATATGGCAATAGTTCTTAAAAGTATGCCCAATCCAAATTATTTTTGTAGATTTTCTTGATCTTTGTATAAAAATTCTTTAATTATGATTTTGTTTTTCTTTTTCAGGGCCCTTGTAGAGCATTCTTGGCTGATCTTTCGGGCGGCAATGCACGCAGAATGTCAATGGCGAATGCATTATTCTCCTTTTTCATGGCTGTGGGCAATGTGTTGGGGTATGCTGCAGGTTCATACACTCACCTCTACAAAATGTTTCCATTTTCAAAAACAAAAGCTTGTGATGTGTACTGCGCAAATCTGAAGAGCTGTTTTTTCCTTTCAATTGCCCTTTTAATTACCCTTACAACATTGACTTTAACATTGGTACATGAAAAGGCCACCGGCGCCGCCCCTTCTACGGCGGAGCAAACTGGTGGCGGAGTGGAGGGTAGTAAAAAGCGAGGTGGGGTACCTGTTTTGGGGGAATTATTTGCTGCTTTAAAGGATTTGCCTAGGCCTATGTGGATTTTAATGTTGGTGACTTGTTTGAATTGGGTTGCTTGGTTCCCGTTCTTGTTGTTTGACACTGATTGGATGGGGAAGGAGGTTTTCGGTGGAAAGGTGGGTGACAATGGGTTGTATGACCGTGGAGTGCGGACCGGTGCACTCGGTTTGATGCTCAACTCGGTGGTGCTGGGATTCGCCTCCTTGGGAGTTGAGTTTTCTGGGCGGCGGCTTGGTGGGGCGAAGAGACTTTGGGGTATTGTCAACTTCTTGCTGGCCGTTTGCTTGGTTATGACTGTTTTGATCACCAAATTGGCCGAGTCTAGACGACGATACGCCGTCACTAGTGGTGGTGGTGCCACCGCTTTGAAGCCGGACGGCGGTGTCATTGCGGGCGCTTTGACTCTCTTTGCAGTTCTTGGCATTCCTCAGGCGGTAAGCCCTCTTTTTCCATCTCAAAACGTGCTTTAGCTTAATTATAATCATTATGGCATTTAAAAACTTCTATCAATATTCTATCACACGTTGCACACGTAAATAAAATTGTACATATTTTGCACGTGTTTCCTTTTCCAATTTAAATTTGGTTGACCCCATTTATTTTCTGTTGGAGAATATATGATTAAAAGATAAAGAAAAGTTTTGAATTTTCGTGTAATATTATTTTATTAAAAGTATGTGATTGAAATGGGGTCGAAAAATGTATTTTGATTGAAAAAAAAAAATGCTCAAACAAAGGCTAAATTTGTAGGTCACTGTGTTATAAGATTGCCAGGTGGGTTTTATTTTTTATTTTTTTTGATGACGAGGAACTTTTGGGTTTGTAAGGTTGGAAACGCATTTGATTTGGAGTAATTTGTCCCATATCTTAATTTAAAGTTTATCTCCACTGGGATTTAATGTCATTTTTATATGGAAAATGCCTCTTGTCAGTTTATTTTTCTATGAATAAAGCAATTTAAAAATAAAATCATAAGTAAATTGATAAAAAGAATAATATTCAAATTTCAGATCTATTATATATTTGGACATTATAGTCTGAAATATTTTCTTTAATTGTCTAAACAGGTGACTTTTAGTATTCCATTTGCTTTGGCTTCTATATTTTCTAGTAATCACGGTGCAGGACAAGGTATAGTACTGTGAAAATTTCAAAAAGAAAACATTTTTTTTATATATTTATTAATATTTTCTAATTCTAATTTTATTATTCAAATCCATTCCACAGGTCTCTCACTGGGAGTTCTAAATCTTGCCATTGTTATACCCCAGGTAAAATGACATTCTTATAGTGAAAATAACTTCTTTTTGACTCGTTCTTTGGTGAAAATTGGCTAATAATTGTGAAAATAAATAAATATTTTCCTTCTATTTCAATTGGATAAAATTTAGAAAGCCGAACTATGATTTTTCCTTGTACTTGTTTTATTGGGACAGATGGTGGTGTCGGTTGTGAGTGGACCATGGGATGAATGGTTCGGAGGCGGTAATTTACCGGCGTTCATTGCAGGGGCTGTGGCAGCTGCGGCCAGTGGGATTGTTGCATTAACAGTGCTCCCATCTCCTGATGCATCATCAACCAAAACTGTTACTAGTTTTGTTGCATCTCATTGAATATAAATGGACCCTCGCACTCCCCCACCGCAAGGGACCTTTGATTTTTCTGGTCCCCTTATTCCCTCTAAGCCAAATAGATTATTCCAGCAATTTATATTAATCACGGTCAAAGAGGTTCTCCTAATATAAATTTGGAAACCTGGTATTGTATGAATTTTGAGGTTGATTTATCAAGAGAAAACAAGAAATTATATGCTTTTGAACTCGACATGTATAATACGTTTCTCAATTGTTTTTTTAGTGCCTAGGTTATGGCAGCCTTATCCACACACTAGACTTCAACATTTTTCAAGTGAACAAGTCCCTACGGATCAATATTATTTTCTTGAATACATGAAGAGAATAAAATACAATTAAGAAATTGAATAATTTATTGTTGGAAATATGGTTTACACTCAATGAAGTGGAGAAAGAATGAATAACAAAAATGAAGAATACAAAACGAACAATAAAAGAAATTGAATGAAGGTTCCAACATGTGATCGTTGTCTTCAAAATGATATTTGTCCATCTCAAATTGAATTTGATGCTTAAAAGGATTCTCGGCAAATGGTTTGCAGGATTTATCAAACCTTGAAAAGAAGCACTAAGTGAAATATTTCAAAACTTAACACAAAGAAAATTGAAAGGAAGCACTAAGTGAAATATTTCAAAACTTAACACAAAGAAAATTGAATATGATATAGAGAAAGCTTTGATTATTTTGTTGAATGGAAATTTTGATCACAAGTGTTTTTCCAATGTTTCTAATGAACATCAATCACCTATTTATAGGGTTCAACAATACTTCACGAAGTGGTGCCAAAACAAGATGCCAAAAGCACCAAATGTAGTTGAAAAAACCAGCCAACGGCTAGTTGGAATACTTTATGTGTTCGCATATAACGAATTCATGTGACCACCTAGTTTGTCCAAAAGTAGGGCCTTTAGGCCTTACAATGCACCATGCGACCGCACCCTTCTAAGGCCTATGCGGTCACATAGGTCAAGGTTTTGGCCTCAATTTCTATTTTCATTTCACACGCATTTTATTGATTTTGAGCAACAATATTCAACAATTCTCTACTTGTTCAACATTCAATAAAATCTCGTATTCAAAATATACAATACTCATGCATAAGGATAAAATATATTTCGATTTGAATTTAACCACAGTATAATTCAAACAAAGTAAAGTCGAAATCAAAAGTAGCGTTAAAAACTTTGAACCAATTATTCCATCTAACAATACCGGTAAAAACACACACACATAAGTATCATGCGTTCTCAAGTTCCTTAATATCACTTAGCGCTAATATAACCTTGCGCTCATCCATTTTCAACAAACTTTTAAGAGAGACTCTAATTTACTATTAAGACGGCACCACTTCGAAGTTTATTTATGTGAAGTTCTTTCAATATATTTGTTACTTTTAGAGATACTTATACTTATTACTGAACTTCATTAGGAACTTGAAGCACGGCCCTCATTCCAATAACAATTAGCATTACTTAATTAGGATAGGGTTATTATAGATTTTATAATACTAAAATTATTCACACACCGAATGACTTGTTGTTACCCGTTGAACCCATTGATTATTTGTTAAGTAATGATACATAGGGTTGCCATCATTGATAGATCTTTTTAGCTTAAGAGTTTAAACCCTATCCTACTTAAAATAGATGTTACTGAATTCTATTTAAATATTAAGTTAAAGGATCAGCTAAGTTCTTAATTGACTTAACATAATTTAGGAAAATTATTTTATTCTTGATTAATTTCCTTATGTAGTCATGTATAAGATTCATATGTTTAGACTTTTCATTATATCTCTCATTGTATGTCTTTGCTAATGTGGCTTGACTATCACACATGATAAATATTAAAAATGTATTCTTCGATTTCAAAGGTATCTCATAAAGTAGATCTTTAAGCCACTCAACTTCTTTTTTAATTTATGATAAATGCCACAAATTCAGATTCTATATTTATGTGTGTTATACATGTTTGTTCCTTTGATTTTTAAGAAACAACACTTCGTCAAAGAATAAATATCCAACCTGAAGTGGATTTACTTTCACTTGTACTAAATATCCAACTAGTATATGTAAATCCCTCTAATATAGCCGAAAATTTAGCATATTGTAGACCTAAGTTCTTAGTTTTCTTTAAATAGCCAAAAATTATTCCAATGACCTTCCAATGATTATTGCTCAGATTACTAATGTACCTACTAAGTTTACTGATTACAAAAGCTATGTCCAATCTTGTGCATTGAGCAGCATGCATAAAACTCCCTATAGCACTTGCATATTCCAATTGAGCAACTACTATTCCATCATTCTTTATGAGTTTTAAACTTGGATCAAGAGGGTTACTAAATTCTTTTGTATCTAAATGTTTGAACTTATTTATCATATTTTCTATATTATGTGATTAATTTAAATGGTAACCCCCACTAATTTTATTAACTTTGAAACCAAAAATAGTATCTACTTGTTCAATATCCCTCATCTTAAATATGGAGGATAGAAACCTCTTCGTTTCTTTTATTATATTCATGTGATTACTCATAAATAACATGTCATCCACATATAAATAAATAAATGTAACATAATTATTACATAATTTGGAATACAAACATTTATCTACACTATTATATTTGATACCAAATGAAATAATAGGTAAGTCAAATTTTTAATGCCATTTCTTAGGTGCTTTCTTTAAACCATATAATTATTTCACTAACTTGTATACCTTTTGATCATTTTCGTGTAGAGAAAATTTTTGAGTTGATCCATATAAATCTCTTTATCGAGATCCCTATTCAAGAATGTCGTCTTGGCATCTATTTTATGAACATTCAAGTCATGTATGGAAGCTAATACGAATAATATCCTAATTGATGTTATTCTAATTATCGGTGCATAAGTATCAAAATAGTCTATTCCTTCCTTTTGTCGATAACATTTTGCTACAAGTCTAGCCTTAAAGGTATTATGATAATTCAACTGCTGATACTTGTTCCCTTGGGTATTTTTCTATATAGCTTGCCAGGGTACCCTATGTTGTGTTGGCCAATATAGCTGCTAACTACCTAACTTGATTTTACAAATTTTGAGTAGAGGCTTGCTGGTTTTGGATTGCAATCTCAGTCTTAGTAATGTACTTAGCAAGTATATCCTCCTAAGATGACATCTTCTCTTTTTGTTGCTAAAATTCTTGTAAGTTGCCTAAATTTAATATCACTATCTCTGATTATTAGCCCATTAGAAGTTAGGATCTTGCTCCGACTTGGATTATAGGTGTTGGAGTAATGATTTTTTTGCTGCTTCTAAAAATTTTGTGCATAATTGATCTCCTTAGACTGAATTGTCCCACAGCCTCTGTAGACTTGTGCTAATTGGTACACCATGCTAACATTCCGATTTAATTTGTACAACTTCTTTGTTAGTATTTTTGGTTGGGCTATTATTGCCGTCACATCTATGTTGTGAACTCCCACTGTTTTCATTGGTACTTCTCTGTCAATTGGCCATATGGACTGATTTTCTGCTATTAGCTCAATAGGGTCTAAGGCATTGTTCAAGGGAATATCAAAGATTAACCCTCCTGCAAAAGTTGATTATGTTGTGAAATTCTGGTCTCATGCCTTGATAGAATATGTAATACTTAGAGGTTTTAGGAATGTTCAGATTGGGGCACCTTTTGAAATAACTTTGAATCTTTTCCATGTTTTTGAATAGTTTTTGAGGTCTCTTTACTTTAAATATGGACTTCACTTCTAGTTTAGTGGACTCGAGAAGGAGGGAAGAAATTTACAATGAATTTTCCCACTATGTCATTCCGTGAAACGATGCTCCAAGGAATTATTGAATTTAGCCATTCTCATGCGGGTCTTCCTTTAAAGTGTAAAAGTATAGGAACAGCCAAAAAGTGTCAACAGGCGCGCTTTCGTAATTGATCATATTGTAAAGCATAAAAAATGTCTGAATATGTTCATGAGTATTTTCAATTGATATTCCAGAGAACCTAACATTCTCATGATCTTGAAACAAGTTGATGAAATCTGGTCGAATGTGAAAGTTGGCATATCCAAAATATGGATATATAATAGCGATTATATAGGAATTGGTACTGGATTCACATAATCCTCAAGAGCTTCTCCATAGTTGGTTAGTAGATAAGGTGGTAACTGAATTTGATTTTGAATTTTTGCCATTTTTCTTGCTTCTTTAGGATCTCTTCTTCGTTGTATAAAAGTTATTTTGATTTTGGGATGAAATAATAGGAGCTTGATTTCTCTAGAATCTTGCATAAACTACCAAAAAAAGGAGATTAAGTGTGTAATTAATGGTCTAAAACAAAATAAGAGAAAATTCTAATTCTAATATAAACTAATAAATTTGAATTAAATACTTTATTCACTGACAACGGCTCCAAAAATATGTTCGGTAAAATTTTATGAAACTACGGGATCGATGACAAGTAATAAATTAAATGAGTTGAGAGTTATCATCCTATATAGAATAAATTTCAATTTAAGTTTACTAATTACATAATAAACAAAAGATATTTTGATTTTATTTATATTAAATTAATCTAAGAAATATAAAATGTTTGATCTTTATCAAATTATGAATGATTGTATTATTTCGAATTCGAATTCGTTTATTGCTATCAATTTTAATTCTCAATTATGTAGTTTAATCATATTAATGCATTCTTGACAATCAATAAAGTTAATGTATTTAACTTTTTTTTTTCTAAAAAATTAACTCTATTTTAATCACAACCTAAGTATTTTCCTAGCTCAATTTCGAATTATTAGAACGAATTAAATTTCATATTATTAATATGATTGCACATGTGATCAATACTATTCTTAATATCTATTGCATATATGTTAATTTTATCGCGTTCCAAACTTATTATGAGTTTTTCAATATTAGAACAAGTAACTAATTATCTAATTGATAATCAAACAATTAACAAATGTAATGGTTATGCAAAATTAAGTAAGAATTGCAATAAATAAACTAAATTATTAGTTTTGAATTAAAATAGATAAAATAATATGGTCCATCATCATCAAACACAAAAACGGATCTCGCCAAGCATTTTTTTAAAAATAAATTACAAAAAAATAATTGAAAATCATTACTCGAATCATAAAAGAAAGCAAAAGAAAATTCGGCCCAAGCGTTCATCACGCGCAT